ATTTAAATTTTCTCCAGAGTTTATTTACCTTATTTCTTAAATCTTAGAGTAAACTTAGAAATTTTAAATATTTTTTCTTAGATTTTGGAGATTTTTAAAATTTTTGTTTGAAACTTATTAGTATTGTTAATTAAAATAAACAAAGTTTGGGTATTAAAATGAGCACAATTATAAAGGTTTGTATATTAAAGTGGGAAAAAATTATTAGTTGAGGTATTAAATTGGGTAGTGAAAAAGTTTGGGTATTAAAAAGCTTAATAAAATTTAGTTGGGGTATTTATATGGAATTTTCCCTTAATTAAAATAAACAAAGTTTGGGTATTAAAATGGGCACAATTATAAAAATTTGTATATTAAAGTGGGAAAAATTATTAGTTGAGGTATTAAATTGGATAGTAAAAAAGTTTGGGTATTAAAAAGCTTAATAAAATTTAGTTGGAGTATTTATATGGAATTTTCCCTTATATTATCGATGCGTTTACAATTTCGGTTCTTAATTTCAGCATGTCAACTACTCCAACCAAGCTACTGAGCAAACCTTTCATGACTAATTTATTTGTTACGTGGTTTTGTATGAAGGGGTGGTGACAGTTGGTGATTGCTCAATATATGTATGGTTGTGGCCTTTTATCAGACCACCAATATAGTAAAATAGAACATATATTTATACAGTAGAATTTGGTAAACAAATTGAACTTGGTGAAACATTAATGAATATTCAATAAATAATTAAAATAAAAAATTTAATCTAAACTATATAATTTAAAAATTAAAGATAGAAATTCACAAAAACAGAGAAAATCCCACTTACGATTTTGTTTAGTTTCATTACACTCAAGTCAACAAAAATAAAAAGAGTGAATTTCACAGAAATGCTTTCTATATTTTATCATCACACTCAAATTTAGGGCAAGACAAATAAACCTGAATCCAAAGACCCAAATCCAAATCAAAACTAATTAAATATCTGAACATGTTTTAAAATTTTGGTATCTAGAAAACCAGAACCGCATTAGACCCAAACAAAAATATTTTGGATATCTGATTTGATCCGAATCTGATTTATATATATATATTAATTATTTTCACATTTAATTAATAAAAAATATCCAAAATATTTGAGATATTTTTAAAACTGTTCAACATAATCAAAAATATATCCAAATTGTCAAAATTAAATATCTAAAATAGCTAAATAATACTCAAAACACCAAAATATTTGAATTTATTGATTCACCATCCAAATATTCAAGATAAAAGTAGTTAAAAAACAATTAGGTATTCTGGTATACAGTATTCAAATTTATATACTTTTGGATTTTGAGAAATATAAAGTATATATGAATTTAAAAATTTTAAAATAATTTAAACGAGTTATCTGAACCCGAATCAAGCCAACAAAGATCCCAACCGAACCCAAATCAAAATTTATGAATATCCTAATGGGGTTGAAATTTTTAACTCCAAAAACCCAAATAGATCTGAACCGACACTGAGTAGATATCCGAACGACAACACTTACTCAAATTTAAAGAAACTAACAAGAAAAATAATATAAAACCATAACTAAACAATATACATAATCAAAACACATAATAAAACTGTGTAGAAATATAAAATTAATAAAATATAACAAAAAACAATAAAATTTATTAAATACATAATATAACTTGAGTTTGATAAAAATATTAGCCAGTAATAATGATTTAGTAAAAATACATAATATAATCGAACAATACATATATCTGAAAATAAATAGCAAAAAATCATAAAAACAGTAGCGTAATTCATTTACTAGAGTTACTCATTTACAAAAGCGGACTAATGTTATAAATCACCTAAGACTATCTCCAAAGTATTTTACTATTATACCTATAAAACCGAGAAATTCTATAATAAATGTGCAATATACTCCAATGTATTGCTTTGAAGTAGTAAGCTTTCAATATATATATATATATATAGTAAGAAAATATAAAATATTATTTATTTCTCTATAAATAGAGGAAAATAAATACCATCTCTATTATAAAATAACTAATATAGATGAATTGATATATAATCACTACATATCCAATCATTAGTTAAAAACATTAAGGTTAATATACACCATTCTTGCAAAAGCTTACATAAAAGACATCAAACAAAATATACACTATATAGTTACATATATCACATCTAAAGTATCTTCTGCGTGTACCGCGAACCGGCCCTAGTATTAGATATATATAAGTGTTTCACTATATTTTGGTAGTATATATAATTTTTGGTTTTCTTAGGTAGATTTGGGTTTTGAGTAAAATTTAGGTTTTCAAATATATAATTCGGATACTCAGATAAAATTTTGAATATTTTGAGTATAACTCAGATACTCAGGTAAAATTCCAGGTCTTTTGGATATTTTCGGTTTTGGATATATTTCGGGTATATGGATCTTTTTCGGATCCTAAATAATTGAACCAATCCAAAATCACAAGGAAACAAAAAAATAGCATGTATTAACAGTTTCTAGATAATTAGACCCAAATGTCTGAATCTAATATGATTTGAACCAAACTTAAACAGACAAATTATTATATTTGAGTCCAAATATCTAAGACTCAAAAGACCCGAATCTGATACCAAAGACCCAAGACTATATCAAATCAACCAAGAGGATCACAAATACTAAGAATTCAAGGAATTTCTTAGTATAAACGCAATCAAAGAGTTTATAAGTAGTAACTAAGTAACAAGACAAAACTATAAATCAAAAAAGTACAAGCAATCAAAAATTTTCAATCAATGGTGTAAAGGAACCCATAGGCATTAGGCATTTGATCTATGGTGAATAAGCTCCAAGGTAAGATGGCAAGCATTCAGTCAACAAATTTACTTAAGTTTAGAACACAAAGATAGACTAATTCTTTCTCAAGATAATAATCTCTACATAATCATCCCTTAAACATCAAACCTCTTTGTCTAAAACAATCAAACATATATTTGAAATAAATCTAATTACCATCTATCAATTCTAACATCAAACCTTTTTGATTAGTCAAGCTAAAGCATAATTAAGTTCACTCAAGAGGTTAATCAAATAATCCTACCTCCTTAATTGACTAGAAATTGTTTTATCTATACTATTAAAAGGGAATCACTCTTGAAACATTGACTTATACAAGGTTACTGCACTAATTCATTAATGGTAAAATGGTCATTTAAAAAAAAATTGATTTAAATGTATTGAGAAAATCTTTGAGTTAACGATAGGTTGTATATACGATATTTAATACAAAATCCATAAATATTTATATTATTTTGTCTACAAGATTTATTTAATATCATAATTATTTTTTTTCTTATTCTTACAGAATTATCGCTAACCTATTTTAATTGGTTTAGCATTAACTCTTAGAAATTAAAAAAGTTTATTCTAATTGCAATATACTCGCATAATATTTTTATTCCACAAAGTTACATATTTTATCAAAAATTTAAAATATTCTAACCTACATTTGCGTAACATAAATCCGCTATACCAGCTACTTATTATAAATATACGATCAGTTAACCACGATATTCATAAGACCTACATATACAGAAAAAATGGCGAACAATATGTAGCTAACTTTTTTGAACGTTATCAAACCATGTAAGACAACATGTCACATCTAAGTGAAGATCATTGATACATGGAAGTATTTCATGAAAGACATTGGAAAATCTATGGAACTAATCCTATGTGATGTTAATGTAAGTTTAATATCTTATATAGATTTGTGATCTTTATATATTGATTTTGTTAACATATAAGTTAACCAATATACTTATTTTATCCTTTTAAAGGGAACTAAAATTCATGTCTCGTGTAACAAGACACACATTGGTAAATTGTCTAAAAATGTTTACCTCATTTTTATAGCTTGAATGTTAATATACGTATAAATAAATTTGCCATGAATCTTTCTAATAACAATAGATTTACCTCATTTTATAATTTTTATCTAATAGTTTAGATTTTTTCAGTTTAAATATGATGCTTAAATTAAAATATTTGATAATTTCAAAAAAATTAAATTTAGTTATCCATTTGATTTTTGGTACGGGTAAAAAACCGCGGGTCAAAAATGCGGATCAAAATCTTATATAAAAATTCATTTAGAAAAATTTATTTAATTTCGAAAATAAACCCACGTTTTATAAGCTCTCATCAAAATCTATTTATCTGTTAATTAATTAATGACTGTTTCCAAAACGTATTGACTTTTAAAAATGCATATTGATTTGATGCGACTCGAAAAGGCAAAATTGAAAAAGGCATCTTCGGGATAAGAAGAGCTTTGGAAGCATGCAGAGGGTTTCCAGATAGATCATAGCTGGCAAAAGGAAAACCATCGACATCTGTAAACAACACAATGAGAACAATCTATGCCAATTTTCCACAACTTATCTCTTTAGATGGTCCCTAAAATGCGAAACTCAACAATGAAAATGAGCCAATCTCAAAAACATTTGTACATACAGTATATACTTTAGCCACGACCGCTAATAAAATTCATCATTGAATGTATATACAGATGTGCCTGAACATGCCATGGCCACACAATTCAATCGAATAACATTCGTTGGACCCATTGAATAAAACAAGTTAAAGAGAGACAAAATTTCGCCTATAAAAACCCAAATTGAATTAAAATAAATCGAAGATCTGTCCATGGAGGAAGAAAATGAGAAGAAAATACCAAAGAAAGTTGCAGTTACAACCGAACGTAAAATGGAATATATTCACAAAAACAAAACAAAAATCACTTAAATCATACAAGTGTTTGAAAACTCGAAATTTCTCAAATAAATAAATCATTTTATTCATATACAAGCAACAAATGAACAAAAATGCCCCCTCTAGCTGTGAATAATAAAAAAGCATTGTAACAAAAGTATTATACCAATAAATATAGAACCACCCCCTCCTCTAAACCAACACCATAATATTATTGACAATGTTATAAATCAATCAATCATATCGACTCTGTTCCATCCATACGGCTTCTCTTGCTCCGGTGCTTACCAGAGCGGTGCCGCCTCGGGATTCCACCAAACATAACCGGATCATAGACCCTGAGCCTTTGAGCCTCTGCTGGATTCACAACGCACTCCGGCAAAGCAACCTTGTACCTGCTCCGGTCATAGCAGTACGAGTAAGTCATGTGTTTGCGCCTGAAAACGCCCATTTTAGCCCTAAGTGACGGGCTGATGTCCTGCGCTGCACGGATATACTCGGTGGCTCCTTCGTCACACTTCGGAAACTGCTGGATTGGGTCCACAGGGCAGCCATGCATGACTAGGTCAGAGAACCGTGCGATGTAAGGAGCATATTTGTAGTTTACACCGTACTTGCCACCGTTGGTTGCCCATTTAGAACCGTCCCATATTGTTGTGTAGAGAGACATCGGCTTGGACGGGAAGTCACCACCCATTGATGATGTTCGCTTCACCTCTCTGATTGGAACATTGTCTACGTAGAATCTGCATAACCACAAATAAATAAGCTGAAAAGGTTAGTTATCCAAAAATATAAAAACAATAACCTAAAAAGATAACATTTTTGGCATATTAGTTCTCAACTTGGATTGGACCCCCAAAGGAACACCTAATTCTGTATGGGGTCATAGTTGATGCCAAAGATCGAAAGCTGTAAACCATTTTGGGGACTCATGAGCTTAAAATTGACAAGAAAATAACAAACCAAAAGCAAATGATGTCCAAGCATCACAAAACTTTCCACTAGAAGAAATTAGAGCATATAAAAACCAAAAGATCCCTCATAACATTAAACCCCACTTGGGTTTCCTTAAATAGAAGATGCCATTATTGAACCCCAAATGAAATTAAAACTAATGGGGTCTAGAACATAACTTCCTTTCAAGATTCTAAGAAAAAAAAAAAAAAAAACTTCCTTTCAAGATTCTAAGGTTTTCATGTTAATCAAACAAACACGGAAACAAGATAAGTGATTTTCTTATTAAAAAATTCATTTAACTTACATGATGTGAGAATCAGACCAGAGGATACTGTATTGATGATAATCTTCAGTTGGATCAAACCAAAGATTACATCTCTCTTCTCTTCCCAAATGAGTGCTTCCATTACCATAAATATTTGTCTGAATCCTCCATTCTCTTCCTCTAATGTTACCAAGAAACTCAAAATCAATCTCATCATGATTCTTCTCATACGTATCTCCATTAGACATCTGAAAATATCAAATCAGACAAAAAAGATTCCTAAGTTGACTAAGACCCTTATCCCCAAAAGCAATAGTAAAATTAATCATATTATGAGAAACAAGATCATTAATTATAATTGTTTTTTACTTACATAAAAAGCAACAACTACTCCAGCTGAATAATCAGAAGGTAGTTTGATTGAAGCACTGAAGAATCCATGTAAATAAAGATCATTTGAGACAAACCCAGAACCTGCCAAAAACAAAAACTAAAATTAAACCATCACTAAACCGATAAAACAGAAAATCAAGAAACGAGCAAACAGAGGAGCATTAAAGACCATACCGGTCCTTTCATCGAGCGTTAACCGGACAGATTTGCCGTCTTTATGAACAAACAAGTTCTTGTCTCCGAAAAGTTGCGTGTAACTATCATCAAACGAGGTGACTGGAAGATTCTGAAGAGTGAAACCAGAAACTAAACAGGAGAACAGAGACATGAACACTAAGAAACGACTCAAAGTTTCCATTTTAAGTGTCAAACGATTCCGTGTGTGTTTGTGTGTGAACTGAAAACCCTTTAGGGTAAGCTAGAGAGGAAGAGATAAAGAGCTTGCGTAGGAAAGCTGTTGAGAAAGAGAAGAAGAGCCGAAGGATAGTGAGAGAAAAATGAATATGAGGTTTCCATGTGGCGTTGGGTGGGTTTATATTTTTGAATGTACGATTTTCAAAATATTTTTCTTTCCATATTCCTTTTATTTTGTTTTTATTGTACGCGGAGACAAAGATCTTTAGCGAATACGTGATAAATTACTAAATTAAAATTAATACAATATTTTTTCCTTTTGGACATAACTGGATATTATTGCTGCATTTCTCCAATTTACTTTATTTCAAATTAAACTAAAAATAAAATATTGAAGGACATAAATAAATCATTTTTTGGGTACTTTTTTTTTGAACTTAAGAAATCATTTTTTGGGTACTTAATATTAACAAATCGTATTTCCTATTTTACCTTTATGATTTACTTTGTTAATATATCTAATTCCCCTTTTTAACACTAGTATATCTAATTTTCAATAAAGTGAACATTGACTTTTATAGAGCCTTAATGATTTCATTTATTTATTTCGACTAATCATGCCGCTAGACGAAGATTTATTCATTAATCAATAAAATGACATTTTAGATTCGCAATAGCAAATAATGATCATGAATCCGTATCATAATTGATAACCTCAGAATAGTGAGAATAGTGGAATGTGGATACAGCCGATAATAATACCTTTGAGAAATTTAAATTCGGTACTTGTCGTAATGATGCTCAGTATAATTACTTACTAGGTGTGATCCGCGTCCTGCGCGGAGTGAGATGACTTTAACTTTGATCGAACAATAATTTGGTGTATTAATTTGTTTAATTGAAGAATAGATAGTGGATATGAATCAGTAACAAAAAATATATAGTGATATAATGAGAAATTAGTATAGCTGCGAAACGAAGCAATGATTCATAGAATATTGTTTTCAATGTTTTTCTTATAGTTATATGATGATACATAAAACTAAAGAAATCGACTACTAAAAAAACAGTACAAAATAAATAAAAACAAGTAATAGGAAAATAAAACATAGAAAAATAAAATATGATATAATGAGAAAAAATTATATTAAAATAAAATAAAAATATAAAACTAAACATGATATAATAAGAGAAACTGTCTTCAAAACTCCTAGTACATATATTAATTTCAATAAGTACTTGGCGAGGACAAAAGGAGAAATAGAATAAAACAGTAAGATTAATATAGAAATGAACTTATTCTAGCATCGAGGAAGACCATTTCGATAGTCTCCCCAACAGCTACGAAATACTGTTTCCAAAGGCGGATAATTTTGACTTGCACCTTCCACATGTTCTTGAAAAACTTCAACTCAGAGATAAGGTTCATGACAGCCATAGAAAATGCAGAAGTGTTTATGGTTGCTTGTGTGCCTTAATGGACGTATAGACGTTTGGTTATATATGTGTAAGAGACATTTATTTTAGAATATTCACAACAATTTGTGCTTGTCTATCAAGCAAGCAATAATTTAGGATATATTTACTTCAGAATATTATATATAGGTGAATGAATTTCATATGGAAAGAGAGCATTAAACGGTTCGACTAATTTGAATAATACGTGATTGACTTACTTGATATACTTGATTGACTTTCATACGATTTGTTCTCATATAAATTTTTGTGTGATTTAATTCATTTTAACCTCATAAATTTTCGTGCATATAAGGGAAACTGATACTACGCATAAATATAAAGGAAACTGAAATACGCATACAGATTCGACCATTAAATTTGATTGAACATAATTGTAGCCACCACTAATACTACTCATGCATATTAGGGGAACTGAAAATCTAATATATGAGTACAAATACCAAATGTCACGGGTTCCATTTATGTTTCCTTACTATACATTTGATCAAATGCCACAGTGTATGTGTGTATGCATGTTTATATCAGATACGTTTAATGATCAAAAACCATATGTTCAGTATGAATAAAACCATGTTTAAATATAAAATACAAAATTTAAATATATGACCAGTGGACAATAAGACTTATGAAATAAGGTGATACCATTTATGATTTTTATTTGTACTTATATTATAAAAATGATAGACACCTATATGTAACAAAATATATTTTGAATAAATTGTAGAAAAACATGTAACAAATCGTTCTATATGCATGTTGAATAAATAGTAGTTCAATATATCTTTGAGTCATCCCTTGAAGAGCATAGAATCAAAAAGAATGTAAATAATATTCTTTAAATCGATTGAGGTGAGGAGTAAATGTGCCATTGCCATTGCTATATCAAATCATATACGTATTAATTGTTATGCGTATTGTTGTTTTAAATACGTTATGATGTAAATAATAATGTTTTCAGCAATGGCATGTTGTGTAATTACTCTAGTTAACTAAGGTTTTTTAGCTAAAAGAGGTGAGAGAGCTTTGTGGAGTTGCCACGTAGGAAATAGCATGGCTGTAATAAACATATTAAGTAAATGTTTGTTTTCAAAAGTTCTCCTCAAATAATAAGTAGGGGATTTTTCTTAAACGAAAGTATACTTAATACTAATATGGAGTAACTATCATAAAATGAAAAAAAAACATTGAAAGACTATGAATAGAAAATACGGTGAAAATTTTATAAATTAATAATGTTGAGATTTATTAAAATTATAATTCTTTTTTATTAATTTATAGAATTTATTAATATATCGATATACTAATTGAATAAAATTTAATTTGAAATATAAAATTATGTTATTTTATAGAAAAATTTTAGTGTATATTAATTTAAATTCTGTATGTATAATACGATATATAAGATATATATATATATATATATATAAGACGCCGGGAAAACAAAAAGAGAGAAGCAAGAAAGCATGAAGTGGTTTCTTACACATGTGTCCCCGACAAATAGTCACAGGTGCTGTGTCATCTCATCCCTATTCAACCAACAACACTTCATTTAATGAAAAGATACAAACTCTAACAAAAAATGAAATATTATAAATGAATAACTCGCCTCGTGGTGTAATGTAATCATTATATGAATTGATGCAAATTCTTGTGATCTTTTCATTGTATTTTTTTGCGTTTTTACGTGTTGTAGAGGTTTCTTTGAGGAGGGATAAAGTGCACCCAAAAAAAAATCATAATACAAACCGAAAGAAAAGAATATGAATTTTAAGTCGTCTGTAAAAAGCTGTGGACCAGAGATCTAACCTCGAAGACAAACGGGTACATTTTATGAAGAGTTAATCATTTAAGTTTAAATACAATTTATTTTGAGACTTTGGGGTCAAAAATAAAAGGCGTATCATTGAATCTTTATTTTTAATTAATTGAATTTCCCATAAAGCGCCTGCCGGAGAAGATAACATAATTAGCGGCTCCAACACACCGTCCCTAATGATCACATTCCCCAAAGTACCCCTCTCCGTTATGTAAATTCACGGATTTGCCGTTATTTGTGAAGCACCATTTAGTGGGTAATTTCGTTATTAAATGTGGCACTAAAGACCATAAGACATTTGAAAGCAGTAACGGTAAACTATAAAAAAATTGTGTCTGTTATAAATAAGTGAGGAAATATAATTTATTATATTGTTGAAAGTGAGATGAGAGCAAAAGATTCTCTTATTAATAATTTTCTTCTTGTTTTCTCGTCATACAAAAGAGGAAGAGGAGAAGGGTTATTTATAACCCATAACAGTCGGTTAATGTTTCAGATATTCATGAGAGATATGTGGTGAGGACATGTGTCTGGTGATAATCACACACATTTGATGAGAGCATGACATCTGTTTCTATAGATGAATAATCATCTTTCTAACACTCCCCCTTGATTATTCATCTTGTATTACGTAGTGCCTCGTTAAAACCTTAGACATGGAAAAACCCGTTGGGCTAAAAACCATGAAAAAGGAAAAAGAGTACTCTAACGTAATCTCTTCCTAAACATAACGGACATCACTTTTTCTTCATAAGTCACGCAAATGCCGCATTCCGATATCGTAAACGTGTTTTCGGAATATTGTAGTCGGGAGGGCCTTTGTGAACAAATCAGCCAGATTGTCGCATGACCGTATATACTCGATGTCCACTTCTTTATTTTTCTCGAGCTGTCGTATATACGAGAAAAATCTTGGAGGCATGTGCTTTGTTCTGTCGCTCTTGATATAACCTTCTTTAAGTTGAGCAACACACGCCGAATTGTCTTCGAACATTTTCGTCGGCTCTTTCTTACCAATTATTCCACTTGCTTCTTGTATGTGGTAACTCATTGATCTAAGCCACACACATTCTCGACAGGCTTCGTGAAGTGCAATGGTTTCTGCATAATTCGAAGATGTTGCAACCAGAGTTTGCTTCTGCGAACGCCAAGAGATCGCTGTCCCACCAATTGTAAAAACATAGCCGGTTTGCGAACGAGCCTTATGAGGATCTGATAAGTATCCTGCATCTGCAAAACCAACCAAACCAAACTCGGGTTTTCTAAAATAAATTAACCCTAAATCAACTGTACCTTGGAGGTAACGAAATATATGCTTTATTCCGTTCCAATGCCTGCGAGTAGGAGCACAACTATATCTTGCAAGAAGATTAGTGGCAAAGGCAATATCAGGTCTAGTACAGTTCGCTAGATACAATAACCCACCGATAGCACTCATGTAAGGTACTTCTGGACCTAACATCTTTTCGCTATCTTCACAGGGTCTAAAAGGATCTCTCTCAACATCGAGAGTTCTACCAACCATTGGAGTACTCAAAGGAGTTGCTTTGTCCATACGAAAGCGTTTCAATAACCTTTTCGTATAATTTGATTGATGCACAAATATACCTTCTCGGAGATGCTCAATCTGGAGCCCAAGACAAAACTTTGTCTTTCCGAGATCTTTCATTTCGAACTCTTCTTTCATATGAGTTCGTGCATCATCAACCTCCTTTTGAGTTCCAATA